GGGAAAGAAGGAATTCCTTCTTATTCTATTCCCTCCTTTATTCTGCTATAACTTATTAAGAACATTTGCTTTGCATCCATCTGAATTCATCCTACCATTTCACATCAGCATATGTATACAATCCCGATCCAAGTTTAAAAAGTGGCATTCAAAAGAAAAGAGATGGGCAGTAAAAGATATGCTTTCCAGCAACAGTTAAAATACAGTTTATAAATGGAACTTTACATTGTATCTATTCACCACAAGAACCCGCAGAAAAGTGTTGCATTTTTTTTCTTTTAAGACAGAACTTTCTCTTCATTTTCTTTTGTGATGAAATGTAATATAAATGGTATTCAGTGAAGTAACAGATGCAAAACACCTCCGCGAACTCCTAGACCTTGAAGAAACTCAAGCATTTCTATTTAAAGCAGCAATATTCAACTTCATTACCTTAATGAGGTCCTCCCTGGATGCAAAACTTGAAACCAAATGATTTTCCCCATTTTTGGTGTTAGTGACTGACACATAGAGCCGGTTCTCAGCTGTCTCATGAGCATCAGAAGGAAGAATAGACTCTATGCCTTCCCTAGAGTAAAGAAAATATTAAACATTATTCACCATAATTATTTAAAAACCTTGTAAATTTGTTAGGGGTGAAAGAGTGCTGAGCGCCCCACAGTACAGAAAAAGTACACACACTCTCCATTTTCATTTAGAGATCTTCACACAAAACTAATCTTATAGATGCATTAAGATAGGTACCTCAGTGTTTTCATAAAATCATAACCAGGCGTTACAGCACCGAAGTCCAATTTTCTAACTTCCTCTGCAAATCCATAGGCAAAGTGCTTACACTTCTGCAAATTAAAAAATTCACCATTAAGGATGTTTTAGTTATAGGAAGTATGTTCAACAGTATCTAAAACATACTAGTGGCTAAAGCTTTAATCAAGAGAGAACTGTAAGATCCAACTAAAATATTTTCCCATGTGTACTTAATTTTTAACAAGATATGCATAACAAAATTTGATCCTTTTATAAGAACTGATTTGTAAGAAAGCAAGATCCCAATTTAAAAAAAAATTATTATTATTATTAATAATAATAAACCCTCACAAGAATACCACTTTAACAATCAAGTGAAGTTATAGGCTATTTTTCTATGTATTACCACTGCTAAATAATCAGTTCTCTGAACCATATCATTATAAGAACAATCTTTTATATTTCAAGCGTAAAGCTACTTTTTATTTTAAAGACTACCTCAGTACTAAAACCAGGCACAAGTACTTTAAGATGCCTATAAGCATTAAAAAAATTAAAATTACCACAATTTCTTCTCACTAATGAAACCCATGCTAACAACATAAACATGTATTCAATGAATTAAATACTATAGAAGTATCTAATGAACGGAATACTACCGTGGAAGACAAAAGAAAAACACACAACTGCAGAAAACCAGGCAACAGATTCCACTGCAGAGAACCTCTTTCACACAAGCTGAAATGCCTAGTGTTAAAGACTGCAGGAAAATAGCCATGTGTGAGCCATAGGAACTCCAAAAGGAGAGCAAAGGAATAGGTAGCGTTTATTTTTTTAGCAAAAAGATTCTGAATTCCAATACTGAATGCTTAAGACTCACTATTCATCCTTTCATGCAGACTTCTCTAACAATTTTAGGGACTTGGGAAAAAACTAAATCCATGAAACTTCCTGAAATTGGTACTCAGTAAATATTTTATACTCATATTCACCTATATAACCACATTAACAGAATAAAAGATCTGTCTGCAAATAGTTTGGGGTGCCTGGCTTACTGGCTTCCTGCATGAGGAACAGATATGTTGCTAGTAACAAAATAAATGATTGAGAATGTGTCCCATTGAGGAGGAGGGTAAAGGACTTAATGGAAGGAAAACCAGGAAAGAGTTGGGGTTAGGATTAGTATGACATCTGGAGCAAGCTGCTGGGAGCAGTTTAACTTCCTCATGTAACTTGTACGACAGAGAACTCAGCTAAGGGAAAGACAGAAATGTAGTTCTTGCATCCACTTTCTCTATATAGCCTTCGAATAAATGTATCCAAAAAAGTTTGTTAAGAGGTCCATACCTCTTAAAGCAACAATCGCTGTAAAGATTTCTGCTAATTCATTTCACATAGGTTAGCTGTGCACCTTTACCCTTGGAGGTACTTGCAATTGCCAGTTCCAAGCCAATTCCAATATACTAAACCAGTTACATGCACCAAGTCTTGAATTTATTCTACATCAGGCAGTTAGGCTTCTTCTGTAGTCAATCAGCTGGAAAGAGGCACATTCAGATACTTTCCTCTAAATAGAGAAGAAACCCACAAACCCGACATAAAAGCACCTCAGAACTACCACCTAAGACGCTTTAATAAAGTGACAGGGAGCTAAGAGTAACAGTGGGCTGGATGAATCCCAACGTAGGTGAATGACAGAAAACTACTTGCTACTTCCAAGAACCAACCATAGACCACATGATTCTTGCTGCCAAAAGGGACAATTTCTTACAGCTACAAATTGTTTATACTTTTAGTTCTAGAAGCTTTAAACAATACATCCAAATTTGAAATAGTGACTGAGGACATGTTTAGAAATTCTAACCACTTGTACTGCGTTAAGCAAACTTGACATCAAACATGATCAAGGTACTTTTGAAATAAATAGGCACTTATCTATAACTCCATAAGCCTCGCTAGAATTCTCAAGTCCCATGCCTTTTCAACAGTGACAAAAATCCAATATATGACTGAAAAACATTTGCAAACTGTCATATTAGAACAGCAACAGTCAAAACAAGAAATCCTTAATGTTACATTCTCTCCAAGTTAAGGAAAGGTTGTATTAGAGCTCTGAGACTAGGAGATGGAGAAAGTCCTAATTATAGCTTGTCTAACATAGCCATCTCTGGGTGGGGAAATAAAAACAAATTAACTGATGTAAAAGTTGTATTTCTGGATATAAAGTATTTCAAGTCAGAAATGTAATAAAGGTAAAAATAAAATTATCCTGATAAGAAAAGTTAATTCTATTCAGTACACAACACTGTCTTAAATTCCATGAGAATCACACAGAATTATTCCCCCCCCAAAATAGCTCTCGCTTTTGCATTTAAGCAATATAACAGAATGACTAAAAAGTAAATAACAAAAAAAAAAGGTATAAAAAGTTCAGGAAACATTCTTCAGTTTGTATGAAAATTACAAATTTTCAAGGAAAAATCCATCAGACTCAATGTAATATGCACTTAGTTTCCACAAATATATAAAAAAAAACCCCCAACTCTTCTAGTATTTTTACTTAGAAAGATTTTTGTAAGTTGGACCAGGTTGGGAACAAATACTCATAACCATAACCTAGAATAAGCAAAAAAAAATTTGTTGGGCTAAGAGAAGGCTAGCTGCTGTGTTCACCATATAGGAAATTGAAATCAGAGGTATGCATTATACGAAGGAAACTTGAATCAGAGGCTACAGAAAAGGAGTAACATCTGAACAGAATACAAGCAAGGTTCTCTTCACAATAGAGTGGAACTTTCCTAATACCAAATCATATAAAGAATGCACTTGGGTGGTGGTGGGGTGGAAAGAGGCCAGGGAAGAACTTACTGCTGAAAGCAACAGAAGTATAGCTAACTGCAAGCTAAGTTCATATCACAGCAGAAAAAAAAAAATATAAAAAAAAATCAAACAAACAGAAGGATCAGTGGCAAAGCGCAGTATTGGCTGGGACTATTGCTTGAATCAAATTCAATGAAAGTTGTAACAAGCGAGGCCCAGAGAAAGTTGCCTGATGCTCACGGGACTGAAACCTAAGTGTACTTAGAACAAAAATCTAACAGCCTTTTTTTCCTCCACAATAATGCTGTTTATTATAATTCAAAATACTAAAGAAATATTAACATTTTGGCAAGGCCTAGTCCGCTAAATATATTAAGGCAAAGTCACTATAGGCACTTCAGGAGGGCAAAGCAGCTTTAACCTTAGGGGAAAAAACAAAGACAAGCTCATGCTCTCCCATAGAACCTGTAAGAGCAGTCACTAAATATCACATTGCTGTCTCTACATGACACCATATCCATGATAAGAAAAGGGTGGCATCCCTGGAGAAAAAACCCAAACACATATGTATCGAGCCCATCAGAACAGAACACTGTGAGGGTTAATCCTCCCTGGCATACAGTGGGGCTACTGCTGTTAGTCGTAAACTGTACTGAGTCTAGAGGAGGTGCACAAGCCGCTTCTTGCACTGTCTAACAGAGCACAGACAGCAAGAAAAACATTTGAGCCGGTGTGTGATATTCTTCAACTTTATGAAGATACAGTCCATCTACCATTTTCAGCTCTTTTAACAAAGGGATGAAGGATGGTGCTATGCATTTGCTTAACAACGCCTATCTCTAGCCAAGAAAACAATGATTAGCTTTGTAATGTACAGTGATTGAGTGCCTACACATTTCAGTATATTAAAGTATATCTGGTTGCATGCAACTCCACATTCACACACATGAAATTTATATTTACATAGCTTAAAATATTAAGTTCATATGACAGACTTTTGTCATAAGGAAATACTTGCTTCACAAACATTTCTGCCCGTGAATGACAGATTTTGTTAATGAAAACACATACACAAGTCTTGTTCCTTTAGAAGAAACAAAAACAAGAACCAAAATATTTTTTAAAACTTAATGGTAGATGATTATATCAAAAATATCCTCTAAAAATGATCATGTCCTATACCTACAAGTTTATTAATTTACCTCTATATTTTCTGGTACTGCTAGTAAGACAGTGGCAGCCAGTGATCCCGCAGAAGCTCCCGCAAAAGCTTTCACAACTTTCAGTAACTTCTTACCATGCCTGTAAAAAGCAGCTGCTGCCCCCAAGTGGTAAATACCCAGAAACCCACAAGCTGCAAATGACAGATTGATATGTTTCATTTGTGCTGTGGAAATAAAGTTTCACAGTCAGAAGAAGGATCAGTTAATTTTATCTTATGATATACATATATTCTTTTGACACGGAACACATAATATATCATATCTATATAACAAAAAGTGGTTTGTTTAAGAATAGTAAAAACTTTTGATTACCCAATATATCAAACAAGTAACAGTTAGTTTAGCATCTCCAAAATTGAAAACAACTCTAAAATACTCCTTAGCACAAAACCCTTTTTCAATCAAGAAATCTCTCTCTTTACAACAGAACTGTGCATTTTCATCTGATTTGTAAAAAAAAAAAAAAAAAAAATTAAATAAAAGCAGATATTCAAAAGTGGTAAAAGAATGCTGTTGTAGAGTGAACACTGTTAGCCACCTAGAATAAAAATCAAACTAATTCTAAAACTGCTGGCTACTGTGTCATCTTACTCCCCTGACACACACACAGTCTTGAACCCAATATAATTCTCTAAGAAAACATTTTTTCCTTCACCTTTGGAACTCATTGGCCTACTAGTATTATTAGTAATCACTAATAGACAAATTCTTATTTATAGTAATTTCTTATTTAGAAAAGAAAAAACACACAACATATCGTTGCTACTATTAAAATAAGGAGTAAAAGACCCCACCAAAGTAAAATACAAAACACTAAATGTATGAAAACACACACTCTGAAGGTGTCAAGGACAGAATTTAAATGTAACAACAAACATGAACAGGAAGTGTAAGTTCAGATCATTAGGGGCTGGTTATTAAAAAAAAAAAAAAACAAAACAAAAAGGCTGTACATCTCATTAGCTCTTCTGTTTCTGCAAATAACTATAATTATGAGAGCAAGCTATTCTACAGATTATATTGTACAGATATACAAGATATTTTACAGATTATTTTAGTACTGAATTAAAAATAAACTCCTAGTATATTTGGTTATGCATCAATATGAACGGGACTAAAAAAAAAAATCAGTATACTCAGGACTATACTTGATTTTTCTGGTTTGTAATGAGACAGCTGATGAGATGTTTCTCTTGGAAATAATCTACAGACACTGTGGTATCAGTTAAAAGTTAGCACACATGTACAGCAACAGATTTTGGTTTAAATTGACTCTTCAGCTCAGAAATGGAAAGAGCAGGAAAGACAAGGATAAGAAACAGCTTTCAAAACCACTAGATAAGAAGACATACTAAACTCAACTGCTCTGCCCATAACATGATTAAAATCAGACCACAAATGGGTCTAACCATGTTTACTGTTTTCCTAAAAAACAAAAACAACAACAAAAAAAACCAAACCCCACCAAAAACAAAAAAAAAAGGAACAAAAAAGTGAGCAAGCACGTATCTCATAGTGCCAGGGCATACTGTTTGGTGCATCAGTTATGCTGCTAAAACACTACACTATCATAAGGTACTTTATCAACTGTGCTTTACCCTCTTTACACTGGAAATGCTTGCATATCCACTTGTAAATATACCTGTAATATATCCAACACATTTGTACTGATAGAAAGGATTTCAGGATTGGCTCTTGCTATGGCAATATGAGAGAAAGGCACTTGCAGCGAATCAAATGATAAGTCGTGTTACTACTTTTAAAAAAAAAAAAAGAATTTTTTAATTTAAAGAAAAATCACTGTACTGCATAGAAGATAAAAAAGTTTACTCAAGATTTTACTGGAAAACAACAAACACAACTCTATTTTGAAGATTTTTTTTTTTTTTAGTAGAGTGGGAAAAACCTAAATAGACTTTGAAGTACAATGCCATGATGTGCTTGCTTTCAGGCTAGTTAAACTCTCAGTAGTTTAACCAGTGCTGCAGCTGTTTCCATGCCTTCTGCAAATCAGGAGCAAAGATGCATTTGCATCACAGGCCCCTCTGTCAAAAAGGTGAAGTTGCTTAAAGCATTATTAAGTAGAAAGACAATCGAGCATGGAAAAATTAACTCCCATTTTTGTCCAAAAGAGATTTCAGGCTCAAGACACTACTAATGTGAAACATTGTAAGAAATAAGGACCATGTTTACGTAGTTGATTGGTCAGAAAATAAACCAGTAAAGTAAGAGTTCACAAATCCCAAGAATCATGTCTAAGGGACCTATGAAATGCAACTTAGAAACCAAGTGTGAGATAGTAAGTTTAAATAAAAACAAGCTTATGTATGCTCATGTACATGGATATATACATCTTCTAAACCTTCTACAAAGCATTCTAAAGGGTATCTCTCCCTGCTGGATAACATTTAGACATTCAAAAATCCAAAAGAGATCAAAACTAAAAAGAGTATCTAAAACGTAGCTACAGCGAGAAATTTTTAGATTAAAGGGTTTTTTTTTTTAAAAGAAAAAAAATCCCTACAAATGTAGAAGACAATCACACTTCAATGTATAAAGAATTGGCTGGTACATTTCCTCTACAGTGAAAAGAACAGAAAAGGAGGTTATATGAACTGAAGGGATTATCCGAATCTCAGATGAAGACCTATGAAAATATACTGACTAAAGTCAAATGTCCATGCGTTCTCTTACAAGGCTTCGTGAGGAAGTTTTATCTTCTTATATGAGCTTTAGTCCTACCTAATTATCAGTTATTGTCAGTAACCACTGTTCTCTTGAGTGTCTGGATACATAGCATTCGCTCTTTGATGAGAGTTAATGTCTTAACACTTAGATCCCATACTTCTCTTCCTCCTTCATTCCCCTACCCAAGAGACAGAGATTATTGAATGAGTATTCAGATCAGTTTCTTGACTGACAAAAGGACTCCGTGAGAGGCAAACATGCAAAAAGAAAAAAAGAACACTAAGATTTCAATAAAGGAATACTGTTAAAGAATGCTGCTACTCTCACATTCTGTCAAGAGTAGACTAATTTCAAGTGCAAAAAAAGAAATGAATGCAATCCAAAAATAAGTTACAAATAAATATTTTTTTGTTTTTTAAACAGAAGTACTTGATCCACTGGATTTGTATGGCATGAAATACAGCACTGTTTTATAGATTCTCCAAGAGACCTTAAAATCAAAAGTAACAATTGCATGGCTGTGTTATCAAGTCATTAAATTTCTATTAATTAGGGTCAGTTCTCAGGTCTATATTATGTATTTGTCACATATACAAGAAATTTAAGAATACTTCAGTACAGATGTTAATTGGCAGGTGACATTCAGGTTCAAATGACAGATCCAGTGGTTACATCTAGCTGCATGACTGAGAAATAGGTTTTGCACATACATGTAACAACCCTACAAGTGGGTAAATAATGAGAGAAAAAATAATCACTGAATCATAGAATAACTCAGAAGGTCTCTTACCCAACCTTCTTGTGCTCAAAAGAGGGTCAGCTATCAGATCAAATCAGGTTGCTCAGGGCTTTATCCAGTTGTCAATTGAAAAATCATGTAATGTTCAGCTCCTAAGTGATAGCTAGTACCTGTTACTGGGTGAAACAATCAGGCCTTCTTTCATTTGTTCAGAACATTAAAATCAATAGAGTATTGCAAATAATCAGCATTATAGAGAAGAAACAACAGAATATTAACATCTTCATTCAGCACTATGCACCTATTTGCAGGGAGGTTCTGTACACTGAATTGAAGGCCTCTTACATCAAATTTCTAACAAAAGCACTTAACCTACAAAGATGATACAGATGGATAAGAATTATGATTCTGTAAGGAACTATCTGCTTGACAGATGCAGTTAAGCAATGTCATTTCATCTTGCAAAGGAATCTCTGAGTGAGAGAAAAATGTAAGAAAGCATTCGTTAGATGAATGTCCTGTAAAATCAGAAAAGCAAGAAACAGGAAAACAAGATACTCACTTTTATAAGAATATAACTTTCGCCATTTCTTTTGATTTTTGCAAGTATGTCATGGCAACACTTGATTTGCAAGTTAGAGAATGGTGCATTTCAGAGACAGTATGATTGAAAAATGTCTTTTGCTTTGATGATCACTGCTCTTTTGATCAAAAAGAATACTAGGGTTATAACAGCTCCCAAGAGAACATACAGAGAAACTTAATCAAGTCTACAGTAAGACTATTCCCTGCCAATTTCTTACAGAGTACCAGAAATACAAGCACAGTCACATCCGGACATAGACCATTTTTTCAGCTGCCTGAGCAAACAGCAGAAATCTTGCTATCTTAGAAATGGTATGAAACACCTCTTCCACAAGACTTCGGAATAAATATTCTTAGAGGGTTTAACATAAGTTCTGACTGTTGACGATATTATCTATTAACTCAAAGTTGGCATGTGTTAATAAAAAATTTCAATGAACAAGTACATTTCAGCTGGACAGTGTGCACACTCTAGAGATACGAGGTAAACAGAACATAGTAAATGCTTTTGCCACTGCTTTTCAGAAATGTTATGTGATTGGCAAATTTCAAAATATAAAGATTTTAACTGGTTAAGGGGATAGTTATGATTCTGTTGTCTACAAGAAAAAAACAGAAGCATGAGAAAGAGAAGTACAAGAAGAAACTAGAAGGACATTGGGGCCGTTCAGTTTCATTACTTTACAGGTAAAGAAGGAGCATTGAGGAGTAAACATAAACCTAAGAGTACTATTTAAAAGATTCTCACATCTGCAGAAAAAAAAATAATCACTGGTAATTTAAAATATACTGGGAGTGCAGGGGGAGGGGCATTCAAAAAATCAGCAGTATCTCATCTGTTTGTAATGCAAACCTAAAAGAGAACATATGTAAGGAGACAAGCCTGTACAGAAGAATTATGATACAATACAATATAGCGTTTTCAGGATAAGTACTGTCTTCCTAAATGTCATGCACAAGAAATAGCAGAATAGTTTCTCATACTGAGCAATATAATTATATAAACAGTACACGATCTAAGCATCTTAACCAGTCATAACTACCTCCCTGTCACCCATATGTAAACAAAAGCTGAAAATGCCCAAAGCAACTGCCTAAAAAACCTTTACAAACGAAAATTAAATATACATAGAATGCTAATGACCAAGCACCCTGAAGCACAGAAGCTAAAATGTATAATGCACGGTAGCACATTTAAGGATTAGTTATTACCTAGGAATGACCAAACAAGCAAAG